GAAGTACTAGAAAGAGGGAGATGGCGGAGTTTGACAGTTTCATTAGGGAATGCGGCCTTATTGATTTACCATTAATAGGTCGTAAATTCACTTGGTATCAGCCAAATGGAACAGTTATGAGTAGGTTGGACAGGTTCCTGCTCTCCGAACAATGGGGTCTCAATTGGGGGGATGTCAAACAATGGGGATTGAAGCGAACAATAGCGGATCACAGTCCAATTTTACTAAAAAATCAAACAATCGATTGGGGCCCCAAACCTTTCCAATTTTTTGATATGTGGATCGAAATTCCAGAGTTCAAGGAGTTAGTGAGAAGAACATGGAGGTCGACAGAGATCACAGGATGGCACGGTTACCGTCTAAAAGAAAAACTTAAGGAAACTAAGAATGTTCTGAAGGTCTGGAGTAAGAGTATTATGCCTGAGGTGGACTCCAACATTCAAAAATGCAAGGAGTCAATTGCGGCTTTGGACCTGAAGGCAGAAACATCCGCGCTATCGGCTGAGGAAGTGGATCTGAGAAAGAACAGCTTTTTACAATTGTGGAGATGCCAGAAAATGAAGGAGAGCATGTGGCGTCAAAAAGCTAGGAAGTCATGGATGAAAGATGGGGACGCGATCACCAAATTTTTTCATAGATGTGTTAAGGGAAGAAGGAGAAGGAACGAGATAGTTAGTATTCAAGTGGGAGACAAAGTCACGGACCAGGTTAATGAGATCAAGGAAGAGGTGGCCAACTATTTCGAGAAGATATTCTCAGAAGACAGATGGCAGCGCCCCCACCTCGATGGGATTGCATTTAAAATGATCTCGGAGGATGAGAATTCTCTATTGCTTGCTCCGTTCAGTGAAGAGGAGGTAAAGCAAGCGGTATGGAATTGCGACTGCTCTAAAGCACCAGGACCAGACGGTTTCAACTTCAGGTTCGTAAGAGAAATGTGGGAGGAAATCAAGGATGACATGATGGGCTATGTGGAAGATTTTTACAAGCACGGGAAACTGGTCAAAGGGATAAACAGTTCGTTCATCGTGTTGATCCCCAAAGTGATAAATCCCCAAAAAATAGAGGAATTCCGCCCCATATCCTTGATTGGGGTGATGTATAAGGTGATAGCAAAGCTCCTTGCTAATAGACTCTGTGCAGTGGTGGACAAAATAATAGGAGAATGCCAAATGGCGTTTGTTGGAGGAAGACAAATGGCGGACAGCATTGTTATTGCCAACGAAATAATTGATGAAGCAAAGAGAAAGAAGAAAGCTAGTTTTGCATTGAAAGTAGACTTCGAAAAGGCGTATGACAATGTATGTTGGGAGTTTTTGCAATACATGATGTCAAGAATGGGCTTTAAACCGAAGTGGAGAAGATGGATAGATGAGTGCTTGAGAACAGCAGAGATATCTGTTTTGATCAATGGCAGCAATACCAAACAAGTAAAAATTAATAAAGACCTTAGACAAGGGGATCCGCTATCTCCGTATTTATTCTTGATAGTAGCCGAAGGCCTTAATGGAATCATCTCCTCAGCAGTTAACCGGGGACTTTTCGAAGGGATCAGCGTTGGCAGCAATGAAATGAAATGAAATGGTCACACCTCCAATTCGCAGATGATACAATCCTGTTTGGTAAAGCAGAGGAAGAGAATATATGGGCAGCAAAGAGTATCATGAGAACCTTCGAGTTGGTGTCGGGTTTGAAGATTAACTTCGGAAAAAGCCAGCTCATGGGCATAAGTGTTTCAGACGAATGGAAGACAAAGATGGCTTATATATTGAAATGTAAGCTAGGAGCCTTTCCCTGTAAGTACCTTGGAGTACCAATAGGAGGCAACGGTAGAAACATTAAGGTATGGAAACCTTTAATCGAGACTTTTAAGAGGAAATTGTGCTCATGGAAGGGCAGGTTCTTATCCCTTGGCGGAAGAATCACACTCCTCAACTCCGTGCTATCCAACATTCCGGTTTACCTCATGTCAGTACACTTGCTCCCTAAAGGCGTGATCCTCAGCCTTGACAAAATTCGTAGGAACTTCCTATGGGGGGGTGAAGAGGGGAAGAGAAAAACCAGCTGGGTTTGTTGGGATATGGTATGTAAAAGCAAAATGGAGGGTGGGCTCGGAGTGAAAGAGTTGAGAAGCTTCAATCTCGCATTGTTGGGCAAGTGGTGGAGCAGGTTAGCAAGTGGGAATAATGGCCTTTTTTGTAGGATCATTGAAGGAAAATATGGGAGTGTGGACAGCCATTGGCTTGAGTGGGTTCAAGAGAATGGCCTTAAGGGATCAAGCTGGTGGAGGAACATTTGCAAGCTAGACCACATTGCGCAGAATAAAAGGGGATGGCTCAGTGACGGATTTAATCTTAAAATGGGAGAAGGGAACACTGTGAGATTCTGGAAGGATATGTGGACTGGGAACCAATCTCTTGCTGACCAATTCCCTGCACTGTTTCGGGTGTCCTCAAGGAAAGAAGACAGAATCTGTAATATGGGTGAATGGAGGGATGGCAAATGGGAATGGTTTGTACGGTGGAGAAGATCACTATTTGAATGGGAGAAAAATAAGTGGTCTGAGCTCCAAGCTTTACTGGACATCTCCAAACCTGTACAAGAGCAGAAAGACAAGTGGGAATGGAAGCATGATAAAGATGGTGTGTATACAGTCAAAACAGCATACAGGGTGATCTCAAGCAACAATGGTCATGGGAAAGCATGGATTTTCAAAAGGATATGGAGCAGGTTAGTTCCATCAAAGGTTAGTGCCTTCGCTTGGCAACTCATTCAAGACAGAATCCCCACTAAAATCAACTTATTCAGAAGGGGCATTATCACTGATACTAACCTAGTGCTATGTGGATTGTGTGGGGAAAGCACAGAAGACAGCAATCACCTGTTTATTCACTACAGAAATACTTGCTCGGTGTGGCAAAAATGCTTGCAATGGTGGGGGATTTCAACGGTTATGCCGAACACATGCCATGAATCCTTCGAGCAACACCAATCCTATTTCAAAGAATCATCAGTGAGAGCAGGGTGGGATGTGGTTTGGTTAGCATTCACATGGTCCATATGGATGGCAAGGAATGGGAAGATTTTTAAGAACTCTGTTTATGAAGACAACAGAATTTTCGAACTTGTTCAACTCAGAGCTTTCAACTGGATCAAAGGTAAAGCAAATGGTTATTCTTTTACCATGTATGAGTGGATGATGGAGCCAGTGTTGTGCGTTAAAGCTAAACGGAAGAAGTAACCCGGACTTGCAAGAACAAAATGTTTCTGCAGGTATTTTTGTGACTGAACCGTTCTGAACCTCAGCTTGCAGCTAAATGGTTCCGATAGGGTCAGGAACAGTGCTGCTGGTTTTTGTCCAGCTATTGTAATTTGTTTTAAGGGCAGGGGTACCCCTTGTACTCCATGAAATCTATATCCTTTTGCTGTGCAAAAAAAAAAAAAAAAAAAAAAAAAAAAAAAAAAAAACTTTATCTTTGCGAAATTTTAGAGAAAGAAGTCACAAGGGAAATTTTAGTAGGATTTTTATTATTAAGGAGTCTTTTGATTTATATCAGTGTTTACGTATAAAAGTGGGACTAAGCGAAGAGAAAGAATAAATGGCGTGAGATCACATGCGTTGTATCATTAATAATTAGAGTTTACTTGTATCTTTCAAGAGGTTATTTGAGGGTTAATTTATATCACTTGAGAATTGAGAGGTTTGAAGTTTATTTGTATTATTTCTAGTTTCAGGAGCTCATGTATTAATTTGAAATCAGTTTTGGGCTTAAAAAAAAAAAAGAGGAAGTTTTGCCTGTTGAGAAGTCTTCTTTAAATAAGGACAAGTATGGCTTATATGTGGTTAAAGAAATATAGAGGGAGATAATTTGGGCCGAGGTAATGGCCACCCATCAAAATGTTACAGTGCTACAAACTTTGAAATTTTAAAATTTTAAAATTAATGATTTTATTTAATTTAATTATTAAAAATAATTGATGATTATAGCTTTTAGTTAGTAATTAATAAAATAATTGATATTTTTTATTTAATATATTAAAATTAATTTATATACTAATATTTTTAAATATTATAAATAACTATTTATTAAAAAAATTAAATTTTGTGTGATTCTAATAATATAATGTGTTATTATAATTACACTAATAATTTGTTTGCATCTGTACCATTTTCCTGTTGGATTGGAATTCCCTGGTCTCATTTTTTATTCCAAACCAAAGGCAAGTGGATCAAACGTGGGAAGGGGGAAAAACAAAGTGAAAACGACCAAAAACAAAAGAAGAAAGTTCAAAAAAATTAAAAGCTTTATTCATTTTAAATGAAACGTTAATTTCCAGACTGACATTTGTTCAATGTATTCCGCCTTCTCTGAAAGACGACCAAGACTTTATGTATTCTAAACCATTCTACACGACTACGATTTTGAAAAAGTCATCTCCCAATGAGCACAATTATGGCTCACGTGGTAAGAGTTATAGATGGTGATAACTCGTCTGCATCCGTACCCATTTTCTGTTGAATTTGCCTGCCCACATAACTTTATGCCTGACAAAGACAACTATGGTTATCTGGTTACTAGACAACTATGGTTATTGCGACACTGAGTTGTGAAAGGTATATTATTTTTAAATTTTAAATTTGATTTAATTATTAAAATCATTAATATTTAATAAAACAATTCATATTACACTTGAACCTTTAAATTCAGTGACGTCAGGTCACGTATAAGTGTATTTTGACAACGTTCAAATCCGACCTTATATGAATTCGTTCAAAAAAATAAAAAATAAAAAATAAAAAAATTTATATTTATTATTTAATATATTAAAATTAATTTATAAATAAATATTTTTAAATATAATTATTTTTTCTTTTACACACTATGATTTTGAAAAAGTCATCTCCCAATGAGCACAATTATGGCTCACGTGGTAAGAGTTATAGATGGTGATAACTCGTCTGCATCCGTACCCATTTTTTGTTGAATCTGCCTGCCCACATAACTTTATGCCTGACAAAGACAACTATGGTTATCTGGTTACTAGACCACTATATTTAAAAATATTTATTTATAAATTAATTTTAATATATTAAATAATAAATATAAATTTTTTTATTTTTTATTTTTTAGTTTTTTGAACAAATTCATATAAGTTCGGTTTTAAACCGTTATCAAAATACATTTATACATGACTTGACGCTACTTGACTTAAAAGTCTAAGTGTAACATGAATTATTTTATTAAATATTAATAATTTTAATAATTAAATCAAAATTAAAATTTAAGAATAATA